TCTCTGCCTCCAATGCAGAGCACTTGTCACAGCCTTCCCCAGACTCCAGGACTGGCCCATGTTCCTCCCCAACCTCCTCATTGTCCAAATCTGCTGCCAGCTCTACTGGCTGCTGGCAGGCCACAACAAGATTGTTTTATTCTCTCTTCTGGAATTTTCTCCTTGTCGTACAGCTTTTCATAATAATCTTGAATTATTACTTTTTTTGTCATCATTTTGGTAGTGGAGAACCCCTTTCTCATCTGCCAATCAATGTATCAGTTTCTTTTTCTCTTTTTTCAGCTTATATGCCAACCATCTTCCTCGTTTATTCACATTTTCAAAAAAATTCTGTTTAACACTTTTAATTTTTTGTGCCAATTCTTCTTTATCAAGTAGATTCAGTTTATGTTTTATTAATTCTATTTGATTTTTTAAATTCTTTTTTGTGGTTCTTTCTGTAGTTCTAATTCTAATATTTTGTCTTCTTCTAGTGTCTTTTGGTTTTGTTTCTTTTTCTTATTTTTCTTTCCCAGATAAGTTATAGCTAATCCCCAGATATACGCCTTGGCAGTATCCCATACATTTTGCAATGAAGTCTCCTCTATCCCATTCTCTTTTTTTAAAAAAGTCCAATTCTTTTTCCATAGTTTGGATAAATTCCTTATCCATGAATATTGATTGATTCAACATCCATCTCAATTTTCTATTTTGTCCATTCCACTTAACTTTTACTGGATTGTGGTCTGCCCAAACACTTTTTTCTATTTCTATTTCTTGCACATTAGATTTTAACTCTGATCATATCCGTATCATATCTATTCTCAACCAAGACATAATGTCAACTCGCAAAGCATTCCTGACCTCTTCTCAAGTTGCCATAGGCAGGGGGATGGGGAATCGAGCCTCGCAGCTGCATCGAGGAACTTGCATTTCAGTCAAAACAAAGCACATTTCAGCCATCAACGTCAAGGTCATCTCCAGGGTGACCCACAGTGGCCAGAGGGAGTGACTTCTACAACCCGTGAAATTGCTTCATTGGGGAATGTCACTGATGACACACCTTGAGGGGAGGAGGAAACAGGGTCAGAGCCAGTGGTGTGATTCTATCAGTTTGCACCTATTCGCTAGAACCTGTTGTTAACTTTCTAAGTGGTTCAGAGAACGAGTTGTTGGAAGAAATCTCATTTTGTTTTTTCCCACTTTACAGAGCTAATCCTGTAAGGAAGGCAGGAAGGAAATATTCTGGTGTTGTTTCTAGCCTAATCTTTATTGCCCTGCTTAAAGAAACTGCCTCTCCATTACCCCTTATTACATTCTTGGCAGTACACCTAGACTTACTAACTCAGGATGGTTTTTTCTTTTCTTTTCTGGTACTTTGCTGGGGCTTGACTTTCTTAAAGGGGAAGGGTTGTTTTAAGCTTTTTACACTGCTGTTGGGAGGAAATACTTCCCTGTTGGAGTTCTTCCAGCCGGGATGCAATGATCAGCACTTTGAAGAAATAATTGAATAACAAAGCAGAGCTGCCAGAAAGAAGCTTTTAATGACAAGGAACCAAGTTGAGTGACACTAAATAAGGCTTCTTGGCTAGCAAGAAAGATTGACATTCAAACGTGAGTTTACATACCCTTTCTGCGTTTTGGTCTAAAACTGGTTTTTGGTGAAGTTTAATTCTGTGCTTGGTGACAGGTTTAATCCTGTGTTTATTGATGGGATAATTTTCCCTATTCAGCTTTGTTTGGAAGGAAAAAAAGGTTAATCTCTGTTCCTGAAAAGAAACTGGGTTGAGAAATGTGGCTAGTTCCTGTGTCTATTTGTTCTGGTAATTGGTTAAACAAGCAACAGCTACTGTGTTTGATCTTTTGCTACATTCTAGAGCTAATTGCTTTCTTTGTAGTTAGGTTTGTCTCAAGTGTTTACACTTGAGCTTGCCTGGGGTGTGAGCTCTGGCAATGGCCCAGACAAGGCTTGTGTTTTAGTTTTAAAAGGATTTAAACTGATTTAATTATTTTTATTGTGTTTGAATTTTTTCCTCCCTCATGGTTTATTTTTCTATCTGGGGAGGGGGGGGAGTCTTCCTTCACTGCTTTAGTGTTTCCTGGCACTGTCCTTTAGGGGTGTACTTCCAAGAGGCAGGATGCAAGCTTGACATTGATTTTTTTTTTACTGCCTTTCTGGGGGGCATGTGATCTTTCCTTAAATCTGGATGATTTTCTTAGGATATCTTGTGAGGTGAGTGAGACCAGCTGGTATCTTTAAGTGGTGCAAATGGATCTAAGGATTGCTTTTTCTGGGTGTGCTCTTTCTGGAGAGCTTAAATGACCTCTCTGTTAAAGAGTTTCACTTTATGAGCAAGAGTTGTCTGCTGTTAGTTATCATTGCATTGTAACTATTTTAATTTTTCAAGGTGCTCTGGCACCCTGCCTGATTTGTTACTCTGGCTTGAAGGTCTTTTTAATCTAATGATTGATATCTAGGGCAGCTTTTTGCAAGCAAAGAAACTTTTTTTGTAAAGGTAATCCTTGACTTACAACACTTCATTTAGTGACCAAAGTTACAATGGCACTGAAAAAAGTGACTTATGACAGTTTTTCACACTTACGACCGTTGCAGCATCCCCACGGTCATGAAAGGCCAGGCAAGGAGAAGCACCCCTTGATGTGAGTTATGTTGAGTTGGCCACGCCCATGCAGTCACATGAACACCCAGCCACACCTACCCAGCTGGTCATTACGGCAGAGAACCAGTNCGGCAGATAAAAACCCCTGCGCGGGGTTTTCTTGCAACATGCGCGGCCGCACAGGCGCGCACCTTGGAACAGTGCTGGCAAGCACGGAGCTTGTCTCAGTGGCGCATAGCACAGCAGAGGAGTGGTGAGTGAAAGGGAGAAATCTGTAGGTAATCCTTTTGTTTGTTGAAGAATCCTGTGGAAAAAACTACTAAGTCTTCAAAGAGAAGGGAGAGTCAGAGTAACGCTCCTTTCAGGCCGGAGACTGAGGTTAATCTGGGGAAGTCAGAGGAGGACCGTAGGTGTGGCCTCAAAAGATTATCTCAGTCTCCTAGGCAAGAGGGCTGGGTTAATACCCATTGGTTACTCCTCCCACACCTTCTCTTCGGAAACTGAATTAGAATCAGGGCAAACATTATTTGGCGGTGGCCACTTTAGGAGGAGTTCATTCCTGCCTCTGATATTCCACGGGAAATTATGCACCTCTAAGTGTAAGTCTTTACTTTTCTCTACATTGAATTTCATTTTGTTCTATGGGATCTATGAAATCCACCACCATCATCAGAGGGGCACTTCAGCTCTACAGGAGATGGTTGCTCCATAAGATGAGGTGAACCAGTTTTAAGGAAAGATGGAGCCTCCTCATGGTCTCAGCCTAAACTTGTCCGGGTCTTTAGAGAACCTGAACCGAAATAAACAGCTTATACCCTCACAGATCTCACCTACCATGGCTTGGGGCACATAAAAGATTGAACCCAAGTAATGTGTCTGTCTTCCTGTAATATGCTGTCCTCAAATGAATAGATTGTGTGATGGCCTGGGAAACACAACATGGAAAACATAGTGGCTGGGCTCATGCACGTCCAGAAGCTTTCTGGCCTTTGTGACATTCTTTTTATTTATTTATTTAAGTTTTATTAATTTTCTACTATTACATTTAATTAGTACTTAATAAACATCATCTGGATTATTTTTGTTTGCTTAACAGTACAAATTATATTCCTAACCTTTACCCTTTTTTCCAGCCATTGATAAAATTAATTCCATTTTTGATAGTATTCTGCATCTTCTTTCTGTTTGATCTTCAATGTAAGTCTGTCGATTTCTGCACAGTCCAATATCTTCTTAATTATCTCTTCATCTAGTGGGGTTTCTTCATTTTTCCAATACTGAGCAAATACAATCCTCGAGGGTGTTAATACATGCAACATTAAATATATACTTTGTTTATCAATTTTTTCTTTGTTTATCAATTTTATTTTTTCTAATAAAAAAAGTTAAGGTTTAAAATCTACATGCTTTCCTAACATCTTTTCTATGTGTGTATACATACACACACACACACACACACACACACATTTGTTTTCGTAGATTTTCACGGGTGTAGGTATGCTGGTCTTGTAATCAGGTCTTTTCCCGTGTAAGATTGAGATTGTCTTGGCAATGCTTTAGCGAGGTCTCACTCGCCATCTTCAGGCTGGGTTTTGGGCTTAAAGTGTGATCAGAGGTGCCGTCTTTCTATAAATCTTGCTGTGTGTGTGTGTGTGGAGTGCTGGCTTTGTTTCAGTAAGTGGAATGATTGGTTGTATGGTTGTATCATGATTGGTTGATGGGTGCTGGCTGTGTGTCTATTGTTGTTTTGTGTTTTAACGGCCTGGGTGGTGGGTGGGGCTCGTTTGTTTGCAGCCTGAAGATGGCGAGTGAAACCTCACTGAAACGTTGCCAAGACAATCTCAATCTTACACGGGAAAAGACCCGAATACAACAAGACCAGCATGCATACATACATACATACACACATACATACACACACACACACACACACACACACACACACACACACACTTAGAAAAGATGTTAGGAGAGCATGTGTCAGCCTCTGCTTCGCTGCTTGCTTTCGGCTGCCATTGAAACGGGGAGGGGGGCATGGTATTTTTGTGGGGAAGTATTCAGTACAGGAGTGATTGCAAAAAGGGAGTTGTTCTCACCATCTACTGTGCATGCTGCAGATAGTGGATTTGCCAACTGTCCGGCATACCAACCTGATGATGCTTTTTGAAGATGTCTCCCACATGACACCTGAGGGATGTGCGAATTGGACTATGGGATGGGATTACCAGGGGGAGGGAGTTGGGTCACATATTGATGTAGGATTCAACCACACACAGGATTCACCAAGTCTAGCCTGAATCCCTGAAGATTTCTCCTTTTTGTTATATTTTTGTTATATATTTCAAGTGTCCACATCATCAACCGAGCCTTTTTTTTTCTTTGCTTCCTGATGGCAAACAGGAGAAGGTGCCAGCTTCCAACAGCCTTGAAGAAAGAGATGATGTCACGGCCTACTGGTGGGGCGAGTGGTCCAAGTGGGCAGCCTGCACTCGGACATGTGGTGGAGGAATCCGCTTCCAAGAAAGGCACTGCCTGCAACAGAGGTAACTTGGGTTGCTTCGTCCATCCATCATGGCTCACTCTAGCTGTGCGCAGCCTCTTCCTGAATATGTATTTTGGGGTTCATAGCATCTTTGCATTCAGAAGCAGCTGGAAAGATGTTGCACAAGGTTCTTGCTGTTATGCAGGTCAGTCTTTTAACAGAATAGAGTTGAAAGGGCCCTTGTAGGTCATCTAGTCCAACCCCCTCTGCCTAAACAGGGGACATTACACCATTTATGACAGATGGCAGCCCAGTCTCTTCTTGGAAGCCTTCAGTGATGAAGCTTCCACAGCTTCCAAAGGCAAGCTGTTCCATTGAATATAGAATACCAGAGTTGGAAAGGACCTTCTAGTCCAACTCCTGCCCAAAAAGGAGACCCTGTACCATTTCTGACAGAGGGCAGTCCAGTCTCTTCTTAAAAGCCTCCAGTGATGAAGCTCCCACAACTTCTGAAGGCAACTTCTGTTCCATCATTTGATTGTTCTCACTGTCAGAAAACGTTCTCCTTATTTCCAGGTTGGTTCCTCTCAAATATTGGAACCAGTTTCCTTGCATTCACCCCACCTACCATCTGGGTGTCCATGCCCTCTAATAAAACTGCTGGCTGCACAAATAAGTTCTGGTCTGCCCCATAGCCGGAAAGGGTTAGGTTTCAGGTTTCAGCTTCACCAGGAAATGTGCACCAGGAAATGGACCTGCTTTCCAGCCCTTGGCTTCTGTTCCTACAACACCAGATAGGAATGGAAAGACTGCTTGCACCCATGATCTGATCATGGATCTTCTCATGAATGAGGATGCAAACCTGGCGTGTCTCACCAAAGCCTGACTGGGCCTCTCAGAAACCTGCCATCCCAGATTTCAGGTCCTGGTTGAAGTATTTTATTTTCATTATTTTAGTTTTTAGTTTTACTTACGGGACTTATACAGTGACTCTAGCCATCTCATAACTTAAAAGTTAGTTAAAATATATCCTTGCCTCCCCCTCCCCCACAACAAGGCACCAGACCAAAACATCATGAACACTCAACCCTCCCATCCTAGTCAGTGCTTGGAGGAAGAGCCCACCAGAAGGCTCACTGCAGTGCAAGTGAGCTGCAGTTGCTGTATCTGGGTCCTCCTGGGCCGTGGGGCAGCTGGGGAGGATAACTGATTGGGCCCCCGGATGGTGGGTTAGTCTCTCTGGCAGAGGGAGAGGCATCTCCTGCCTTGGAGGGGATGGGGGGATCCTCTCTTTAATTAGGGGGGTTGCTGTCCTTGGCCCAACAGCTTTCAGCTGGTCCCCGATCTCCCCTTTGCTGAAGGAGGGAATGGATGACCCCGATCCATTTCAATCCAGTTTCATGTGGGATTGAGGTTCTCATCCCTGCGGTATCCTTCTGAGCACATCAGGTGCTGGCCTATGTAGGTAGATACAGGTGTAGCCTATATTTCAACTGCCCCGGAGCCTGGTTCCTTGAGGGATGGTCTTTCTCCTGTGGGGTCCGCCAGCTGATTCAGCCTGATGTGGCCTGGTCTCCTTCAGTTGGGAGTCTGTCTGTGGGACAGGGCGTCCCTCTGGAACATGGCCCAGGTGCCCTTCTTGCCTTTGGGAGCTCTGGGTCTCCCCCTGGCTCAGGCTTAGGGGGTGAGAGGAAGCCCCCTTTGGATCATGTGGGCTCAGTATTTCATTCCTTCCTGATTTTCATCATCGTCCTCATCTTTTTTCCTTTGTTTTGACCTGCTGCTGTAGACCAAAGCAGAGGAGTTAAAAGTCAAATGCTCCTTTAAACACATAAAAAGAAACAAGCTCTTTTTCCAGTTATGTGCTGCAGAGGAAGAAAATTCTGAAAACAAAATGTTAATTAGGCCTCTTTTGTAATTATTCATACAATTGTGGTGTTCCTTCCTGAACAAAGCAATTTAGATAACAGTGCTGCATCTTAGCCATTTAAGAATGGGAGGGCTGGGGACTTCTCTGCAGGACCTCTGAGTCCCTTAAATCCCGAGTTTCTCACACAGAGAAAGCCCCAACTCACTGGGGCCATGCTGGCAGGATAAAATAAGGCATCTTCTCTAACCAGCAATTGGATTGAAAAACACTTTAATAGGAATGTGTTTTAGCCCTGAAATAGTTGTATGTAACTTGCAGAAGTGATAAAAAAGGGAGATGAGCTCCCATGCATTTGTTGCAGCCAGCTTGAGAATTGTCACTGCTGTTCCTTTTTATTTAAAATGATTTAACAAAAATTGAAAATCATACCATCTGTCCTTTTATGTTTAGAAGGAAGCTGGCAACAGGATTTCTTAATAAAACCTGCAATGGGATGCCCAAAAGATACCAGCTGTGTGAAGTGCAGGTAAGAGAGATAAGGGAGATAAGGGAAATTCCACTCTCATGGTAGATGGCCTTGAAGATGCCAGCGCTTGCACGAACTGGATTCCAAACTTCTCTGTTCTTTCTCACGTGTCTATTCCCCCTTCCCAATTCCCCTCCATAAAGGTATACATCTTTATTGCCAATTTGTCTGGTTCCCCCCCCCCCCACCCCCATGTTCCCAATTGATGGAAGAGTGCCAGCAAGACGCCAAGTTGAAGGTGTTGGATCTGACATTCCCTATTTTCTACTTAGTTGTAACTTTGGTCATTAAACAAATGGTCACGTGTCAAAGATTACCTGTACTAACACTTCCCTATTTAGAGACTTTGTTTGGCTTTTGACTGGAAGGTGTGGATTCTTTGAAGCTACAGAACACACAAGCTGAGAAATCTCTTGCATCCCTTCCCCCCCCTTTAATTGTGATGCGCAGGCTTGGTTTTGAAGGCAGGTGGGCAGCGTGAGGAGCCGTCAGGGCAGTGGCTCCCTGGGCCTCACCCGGACTTCTCTTCCTTCCAGCAGTGTCCTCCAAGTGGAAGGAGCTTCCGGGAGGAGCAGTGCTCCTCATTCAACTCTCGGGTCTACAATGGGCACACCTTCCACTGGAAACCTTTGTATCCAGGTAAGCAAGTGGCGGGTTTTGATCTTTGCAACAAGAAGCATTGTTAAAATGAACAAGGCTCTTTCCTGCTCTAAGAAAAAGGAAAATCTGTGCAAGATGCCATGTGTTTTGTTATCTTATTTGTTTATTTTAAGGATTTATATAGCTATCCATTTTGTAAAATACCACCACAACAGCAAAATAGTAAGACGAAACAGGCACCTGATCTCACATCTCCATCCATTCTTCTTTGCAAGCCCTGGCTCCAACCTGCTGTCCCAGCACCTGGTAGGAAAGGTGCTTTCAGGAAGACGAAGTGGGTGGACGCTGCCAATTCTCCATGGGAAGAGTGTCCACAGGGCAGTGGTAGCTAAAGAGAATAGGGCTTTCTTGGGGCCCTTAGATGAGAATGTTTAAGGGAAGGAAGTGGAGCAGGCCCACCCCATCCAATCTGGAGGAATTGCCAGTATCCCCAGGGAAGTCTGCAGGGGGTTTGCAGTAAAACTGGCTCTGTGCCATTCATTAATAAGCAAACCTTTGAATTGCACCAGGAAAGAATCTCATACAGCAGTGATGCCACCTGGGCAAACCAAGAGGTGCCCAGCACTGCACCAGCTGCCACATTCTGGACCAGGTGGGAGGTCTTAAAGGGTGGAACAACAACCAAGAGGTGACACATGAGAGTCCATGAGGAAGGCCTCCCAGTCCAGGAACAGGTCAAGTCGACACGGGATGTCTCTGTGCAGAAGCTTCAGTCACAGTTGCTACCTTAAAAGGGAGCAGCAAGAGACCCAGCTCTGCAGTACCCCACATTAATCTAGGAACCCAGGGTTAGACCTCTACCATACACCATCCCTGGCTGGAACTAAACCCCCCCTCCCAGAAAGGAGGAGAACCCTTGCAAAGCACTGCCTGACTTCACAGCTGGTCAAGAAGGTAGCAATGGTCAATGGTACTGAAAGCTGTCGAGAGATCCCGTGTCAGCGTTCCAAGTAACGCATCTAAAGAAATCAGAAATCAGAACCAATTTTGTTGTATTTAAGTACAATAACAATAACAATAGCAATGAAGGCAGTCTTAAATGGTAGACTGAGCTTAATCCCAACTGCAGGGGCCCCAGATAATCCACCTCATTGAGGGCTTCCTGGAGTTGAAAGCTAACCACTCTCTTCCTCACCTTAATCCTGGACAGGAAATAGTGGGGACTCAGTGGAAGTTGTCCAATATAGTAAGGTCGAAAGATGGTTCTTGAGGAGGAGATGAGCCCCCACAACCCCCCTTCAAGGTGGGCACAACCACTCCTTCCTGCAAAAAGACATTGACTGCCACTTGGACCCAACTACAGTATCCTCCTTGGGGGCCTTGACCAACCAGAGAGGGTATGTGTCCAGCACATAGGTGACTGAGGTCACAGCCCTGAGGACCTTGCCACAATCTGTAAGGATATGTGGGAAAGACCTTGGGAGACTGAGATGTTCCCTAGAAAACAGACCGCATAGCCTGCAGCTGGAGAGGCCAAAGGGCCCCTTAGTTGCCCGGACTGTAAAGGAGACAGCAGGAGAAAAGTACTTTCAAGCATTCATGATTCTGTTTATGTAGCTTTAAAATAAACTAGAATTAGCTCATCTGGCTGTTTCTTGTCTGGTCTACCTGGCAAGGCTGACAGGATTGACTGATGCAAAGTCCTCCTACTTAAGTTTTCCATGTATCAGACTCAAAGGAGCTTTTATAACACTGAGTGATTTAAAAATATATATATTGGTAATTGCCCTGACTCTTTAGCACCTCCGTGTCTCCCTTCAGATGACTATGTCCACATCTCCAGCAAGCCCTGTGATCTCCACTGCACCACCACTGACGGGCAGAGGCAGCTGATGGTCCTGGCCCGAGATGGCACCTCCTGCAAAACCTCTTCGTTCCTAGGGGTGTGCGTGTCTGGAAAATGTGAGGTTGTTAAGTGTTTTGGTTGCCCTCTTGCCCGCAGAATTCTTGCAGCTGCTCCGGCCGCCTCTCAAGGCACTCTTTCTTCTGCTGCTTCTAGCCCATCGGATGCGATGGGGTTCTGTTCTCCCCCCACGCCCTGGATAAATGCGGGGTCTGTCAAGGGAACGGCAGCAGTTGCACTCACGTAACTGGGAGCTACCGGAAGGGAAATGCTCCGCTTGGTAAGGCAAGAGGGGGCCTTGAGGACAGCCTTGGCCCTGAGCAAGTTCAGCCTTGGGTAGGGAAGCCAAGCGGTGGGAGGGTCCCCTCCCCTCCTCCTGGTGATTCTAGCCATCGCTGGTGATTTGCTTCTTCCTCATCCATGGGCTGTTCTGCAGGATACTCTTTGGTGACTCACATCCCTGCTGGAGCAACAGATATCCAGATAGTCGAACGGAAGAAGTCTGCTGATGTTTTGGGTTTGTATTATACCTGGGACAATAACCAGTGAAACCCTGATGTCTTGCGTTGTTAGGAAGCAAAGTATTTTCATTTTGTAACCTAAATCTACAGCCTACCCTGGCTTCATGATTGTAACAACTACAAATTCACCCTGCCTGCTTGCTTGACATTTGTCTTGTTTCTGTGGCTTTTTCTCTTTTCTCTTACCTTCTCTTTTCTCCTCAAAAAAATAAACTGCCTCCCAACTTCCTCTTGCTAACACTGATCACGATGCCCTGGTCACAAAGCAGATTCTCACAGTGGGCTGGGTAGTTGGGGTGTTATTTCATTCAGGCCTGACCAGTGGCTTTTACACAGAGTAGCATTGAAGAGTCTGTGACCAGAGCAGAAAAGAAAGTGGGTGTTATTTCAATAACTCCTACCGTACAAATTGCGGCCTCTCATTTGGATTTTGCAGCCATTGCAGATGAAGGTGGCTCTTACTTCTTCAATGGGGATTACAGAGTAGACATCCCCCAAAACTTCAATATTGCAGGGACTGTCTTCAAATACAGAAGACCCATGGACATTTTTGAGACCGGCATAGAATATATTGTTGCACAAGGGCCTACCAATCAGGGCTTAAATGTCATGGTAAGTTTTGTTTCTTGGAACATATGAATACCTTTCAGTGCATGAATGTCGCCCATCTTGTTACCAGTATGTAAACAAAGAAAATACATTGTAAAATCATAAAGTTGGAAGATACTCCAGAGGTGTTCTTGCCCAAACACCCAGTGATGGCAGCTTTAGAAAGAAAGCTGTTTCACTGTTTAATAGCTTTCACAGTCAGGAAATTTCTCCTTAATTTGATTTTGGATCCCTCTCTCTGTAAAGCTTCCACAGACCAATTCTTCTCCTACATGCTTGCATTCCGCAGAATAAATCCAACTTCTCTTCCCTCGGAGGGTACTTGAGGCATCAGAGGATGGTTATCATGTCTCCCTTTAGCTCTCTTTAGATTAAACAATACCCAGTTTCTTTACCTATTCTTCATAGGATTTAATCTGAAAGCTCCTTGTCATCATTCCTGAGCCCATGTTCCAGAATCCTTCTTGAATTGTGGGGTCCAGCATAGATGGGGCTGTCAGTACCTTCAAAGGGAGGCTGTTCCCTAGGGAAGGCATGGCTCCTAGGATTCACCAAGTCACCCTTGTTGACTGAGGAGACCCAAAACATGTTTTTGCCACTGGATCTGGTACAATGGGTGGAAGCCCTGCGGGAGAGACAGTTTGGCACAGCTTGTGATGGCCTAGGTAGTTATGACTCATGTAACACCCTTGCCAAGGAAACTGAGGGTCACACTCCATAAGGGATGCGGTGTCAACTTTCTGTTGGGGTGTCTTTGAAAGGCCTCCCCCCTGTGTAACAGCCTGCCCTGGTATTTGGATCCCTCCCCTTATATTATTCCTTCAGAGACTGGGATAAACCTGGCTCTTCAGAGGAGCTCTGGCGGACCAAGGAAAGGTGGGGTATTAATTACTATAATTGACTGCTTGGTATAGTTTTACTCTCTGTGGCTGTAGCCACTCACAGTCAGTAGGACAGCAGTGATATATAAACCTGATCAAAACTAAGTAATCAGCCCAAAAGCCTTTAACAGATCTTGCCTTGAGGAGGAGCAGCACTCAGGGGCCCCTCAAGTACCCCCAGGATGCACCTTAGGTTTCTGGAAAGTGTGCAGAGAATTAATCCCCCACCTTTCCTTGGTCCTCCAGTTCTATGGTCTGTGATCCTTCTTGTGCCAAGTGGACTTTGTGAAAGGGCCGAGGACAAGATAGGTTCACCTGAAGGCCTGTCCAGGTCCTCTCAAGGGTGGGGAGACATTACAGTGTGGACATTCTCCCTGATAAGCCTGTCATTCTGCCTCTCCCAGTGATGAGAGAGAGGATTGGCTTTTGGGTCTGTGGCTTTTGGGGCCTTTGAGCTCCTGCCTTAAGAGCTGTGTCCCCTCCCTTGCTTTACATAACAAGGATGTGGCATTCCCCCCCCCCCTTTCCTTCAGGTTTGGAACCAAAATGGTAAAAACCCATCAATTACATACGAATACATCCTGCAGACAAGACCTTATTTGAAAAAGCTGCCGCCACTTTACTACGGCTTCTCTGAATCAAATAGCAAAGAAAAAACTGAGTATGAAGGAGGATTCCTTTGGGGGCTCACTCAGCTCAATGCCAGCCTGCTGGCCACCGTCTCCCAAGAAAGGGGCCATCTGGAGAAGCTGCTCTTTGGCCGGCAAGGGCGAGGGGACAACCTGAAGCTGAGCAAGATGCAGCAGACCAATGAAGTTTACCCCAGGATCCCTCTTGAGTACGGCCCTCCCCTCCCGAGCAAACCCTCCATAGGTGAGTAACCCACACCTGAGGACAGCCTTCTTCTTGTCGAGGTCCTGCCTGGTGGCCGCTGAAGCTCTTGCGAGAAAGGCCTTTTTCCAGCAAGACCTTCAAGCTGCCCTTTTCATTTCCATGGCAGTAAATTTCTGTGAGCTCTCAAGCTGGATGGCCTTTGAGAAGGGAATTCAAGTGACAGCATCCCACCCAAATGCCTGTCCAGCCTTCACTTGGACAAACAAACAGGGACTTTTAGAGCTTTGGAAACTGTTTGGATTGATGTGGCCAAAAGTGTATTTGCCTTCCTTGCCACCATATTGCACAGCTGGCAATTCATTTTGCCATCTACTACTGTTCCAAGGTTTTCATGAATCGAGGCCAAGGGTTTGATTTCTGTTTTCTAGTGGAAAATATTCAACATTGTTCTGTTTCTTTCAATTCATTTCTTGAAGGTGGTGTTTCTCAGCCATGGTCACTTTGTGTCTGGACTTTTAGAATTTCCCAACTAGCATGAAACTCTGCTCTAAGCTATCCAGATTGCTTTGAATTCTGTTCTGTCTTTTCCGGTATTAATCCAATCACTCAATTTATATATCTGACAAGTATTCCCTCCATCTCCTTATCCAAATGATTAATGCTTGAAAAGTAGCCCTGAGCCCTGGATCATCTCGCTGGATGCCTCTGCTCAGATTGATGAGAAACAATGGATAAGACTCTACAGTTGTTGAGCCATCCATTCAATTATCATGCCATCCAAATCTTATTTATTTTTCTTGCTAATCAACATGCAGAAATACAAAGAGGAGTCAGACAGGGCTGTATTTGTCTCTGCTATTGTTTAATATCTACTCTGAGTCAATTTTCAACGAAGCCATGGAAAACATCGATACTGGCCTCAAAGTTCAGATCAACAATTTAAGATATACTGTTATACAGTTCTGCTTGCCAATAAGCACGAAGACCTTCAGCTCCTCATCAACAGAATCTCAGAAATATCTGAAAAATATGGCTTGAAGCTGAACACCTCAAAAACCAAGATCATGGTCGTCAGCAAACAACGCATTAACTTACCACTGATAAATTCAGAACGAATACCACTAGAAAAAGTTGAAAGGATCGTGTACCTTGGTTTTAATTTACATAAAAGCTGAGACATGACCAGTGAAGTAAAGACAAGGATAGGGAAAGCTCAAACAGCATTCTTCAAAATGGAAAAGGTCTCCTTCAGTCATGACATAAGCCTAAGATTGAAAATGAAGCTTGTCAGATGTTACATCTTGTTTCTGAAGAGAAGGCGTGGGAGGAGTAACCAATGGGTATTAACCCAGCCCTCTTGCCTATAGGAGACTGAGGTAATTTTTTGAAGCCACACCTACGGCTCTCCTTTGACTTCCCCAGATTAACCTCAGTCTCCGGCCTGAAAGGAGTGTTACTCTGACTCTCCCTTCTTTTCGTAGACTTAGGAGTTTTCTTTTCCGCTACATTCTTCAACAACAAAGGATTACCTGAAGAAATCTTCTCTCCGTCTCACCACTCCTCTGCTGTGCTCCACGCCGCCGATCCAAGCTTCGTGCTTGCCAGCG